ATTTTTTTTTCTCTGAATTTATATTTTGTTTTAGTAGTTGGGTTTCTTGTATGTTTTTGTTTCCATTACTGTTCCTCATATATATATATATATATATGTGTTATTTAAAATTTTTAATTTTGAAAACTGGGTGTGCAATTTGAGGAAATAGGATATGCAAAATTAGAATAATAAAAAAAAGAGTTGGGGATTTTTCGTGGTCAGAGAAACCCGATTCTCGTTAGGGGGTTGGAGCGGAGGCGGAGGCGGGGGCGGGTTCCCTGTCGGGGATCGGGGGAAGAACAGAAATTTTTTTACCTTCGAAGATCAGGGACGAGGAGTGTAATCCTCGACCTCGCCCTGGCCCATTGCCATTCATAGGGAGGAGGAGAACATGGAAATAGAGAGAAGTTAACTCCCTAAGGATAAATGACTTAGACTAAAGTATTATGAGCTCGGGATAAGTCATGCTGGTTAGCCGTCGGCCTTCCTGCCGAGCTAACGCATGAACCGTGGAACCCAGTGAGGCAGCGGACATCTCGGCCGAACGTTACTTGACCGCTAGTACGACATCAATTATGCAACTATGCCATTACCGAGCGAAAATCCTTTCTGGATGGGCCCAGGCTGCAACGGCCCAAATGTGTTCGGCCCATAATTTGTCCGGCCCTTACCACGGCCCAATCCAAATCATAAATCTCCTTCTCAGGTTTTTAATTTGTGTGTGTGTTTTTATTTTTATTTTTTTGAATTTTTAGTGAAGTTTTAAATATTTTAATCAATTGTTTTTTAGGTTGTTATTTACTTAATTTAGATATACTTAAAAAATATATAATTTGTACAATTATTTTTTTTCAAATACATTGAATACAAAAAATAATATATATATATATATATATATATATATATATAAATTCGATACATTTTCGTATTTTGTTGTATTCAATAGATTTTTTTAAAACTTTTTGTAAAAATTTTAAAAGTACAAATTTTTTAGTGGATTTACAAAGTAATTTTTTTTTGGGATTAAAATGTTAAAAAATTTCACTAAAAAAAACACGAATAGAAAATTTTAAAAAATATTTTTGAAAATCTCAAACCGAACAAAATGAAAAGCACCAAAATATTTTATAATAAACACTTAGAAAAGAGGTGTGCCATATTATAACTTGGTTACTTGCGACGTTACTCATTGTAAATGTTATTTTGTTAGGGTTTGGCTTTAGTCAAGTCCAAGTTCGGACAGAACCGTACTGTTGGGTCTGTGGGGGCCCACCACGGGTCCCGTTTTGAAAATCCGAACCGTTTCAATGTGTAGAACTCGTTGAATACTATATGCCTGTAAAAAATCACGTTGATCGAATAACGATAGCTATGTGATCAAAAGAGTTTTTTTGTCAATAGTTAATTTATTCACCATTCATTTTTTTTATACAAAACTGATTTGATCACATAGCTATCGATATCCGATTAACGTGATTTTTCACTAGTATATAGTACTCGACGAGTTCTACATATTGAACGGTTCGAATTTTCAAAATGGGACCCGTGGTGGGCCCCCATGGGCCCAACAACACAGTCCAGTCCGATCTTGGACTGGACCAAAGCCAAACCCATTTTGTTATAATTAAGGAATGTTTGGTTTTTTTCATTATGATTAAAAATAATTTAATTATGATAGAGCTGTACTATCAACATTAATGTATTATAAAAGGGTCATTCTAGAATACATTGCAGTGTTTTTAATTATCATAAATGTCAGAATTAAATTTATTTCAGTCATAATTAAAAAAAAAAATTCATAACCAAATATCTTATTTTGTTTTAAAAAAAAAATAAAAATACCTTATATTTACCAAAATAATAATCATGATAAGTCATAACCAACATCAGAATGAGTTATAATTAACACCACAATGATTCATAACCAATGTATAACTAATATCACAATACATCATAACGAAAGTTCACAAATGTTATAAGTAGAACATATGGTATACATTCCAAAATTTTGGGTATGTATTATAAAATTTTAGAGAAATTACAAAAAAATCCCAAGGTTAAGCCTTGTAACAAATTTTTTTTTTAATTTTTAATTTTATCAATTTAAACCATTTATCTAAAAAAAATGATATTTTAATCATTAAACTCAATGAAAGGATAATAACTAAAATAGTCATTTTTCATCAATTTTACTTAACGAAAATAGACAAATAGTTTAGATTGAAAACAAAACAAAACATTAGAATTTAAATTGATAAAATAAAAAAATTAGATTTATTTTGTTATAAGGCTCAAATTATGATTTTTTTTTTAATAATTTTTCTTAAAATTTTCTATTATAATTTTTTTGTTTTGTATTTGTTGTCAATTGACAAGAGAGTAATTATAACTATGAGAAATAATACACCATTAGTGATTAAATAACCCAACAATCACTCCATTGCTACTTACATATGAACCATAAGGGGAGATAAACAAATATCACCACAAAAGAGTTCAAATTCCTATTTATAAGAGTTGATTTCAAAACCTTACATCACAAGGGTGTTCCATAATCATTAGATCAAATAACCTAATTATACATTATAAAATCTCCTACACACAAAATGGAATATTATAGAAGAGTATCAATGTCACGACCCTATTCCGCCCCTAGTAGAATGGTGCCGTGATGGCCAGTAATTCGAGATTACCGAAGGCCGACTTTCAAAATTCACACACAATCAGAGTATCACACATGGGGCTTACAAATGCGGAAGTAATAAATTAAAATCCAAGTGGTCCATAAGAGCTGTGCATAGATCAAATGAAATGACATACATAATATGGTTCTACAATCGATCGATTAATAAACAGAATACATCTTGACCAAAAGGCTTCTCAAGCCATCATATACAAAACACAATGAGATGCAAGCTAAGAAGCATGATCTTCAAGATGCCACAAAATGCGAATCCAAAACAAGTTGTAAGGCACATCTAGGCGTCATCGTCGTCCTACTCATCACCTACATATATATAGAGAGGGTGAGCCTGGATACTCAGTGAATGGTACAAGAAATAAAGGGTTTGCATACATGATATCTGAGATCTTTAAGAAAACAATACATAATCATAGCTTGTAACTAACAAAGGAGGAATCAAGTTCATCTAACAAATCTTTCAAGCTTCATCAATCAAGGTCTTTCAAGGCTTTCAAGTTCCAAGGGGTGACGTTAACAAGGGTTGTGCTACAAATGCTTATAGTCCCCTAGCACGTACGGACTTTCAAAGGTTGTTATCCAAAACAAGACTAACACTTGATACACAAAATAGGGATAATCATTCATGCTTAACAAATACTTTTCAAAACAAAGCAAAGCTTTATCAAAACTTTATAATATAGCTTTATTAAAAATACCACTTACATAGTTCTTCAAACGTCGGGGTTACAAGCAAGGATCCAAGGCCTACAAGCACATAACAAATCCCATTGAATGCACTATCAAACAAGTTTTACATGAATGCAAATGATCTCGGCATTACTTCCAAAACTAAGTCGAACCAAAACAAAACATTGTTTCTCATCTCGAGAAAACATAATGGGCACCAACCAGGTCTTGGCCGAGGTCCTACACCTCCCTGCCGAGGTGTGGTCCCGAGGGCCGCATTCAAGGGAATGAAGTCGGGAAAATCTGGGTTTCCCTTTCTTGAAGAACTTGAGTGCAAATAGCATAAATTGTTATTACAAAATTTGAGATTTCATGCTATGAATTCAAAAACATGGACCTGGGTACCCATACTCGAAGATTTTATGAAAACAAACACAAAAACATGAATCTCGATGCAGCTTTCGGATCAAACAAGGCTTCTATTCAAGAACACATGAATATCACTTTCTCTTTCCAAAACCAAACTTCAAATCGATGCATGGTTTGCAAATCAGGTTCGATCATGCAATGCAGCTAGATGATCAATAAGAACAACAAGAGTAGTTCAATATTCTAACCTCAAAACTCGAATCTAACGGTTCAAACTCCAAAGATCAAGCTTGGAAGTCTACTCCCTCCCTCAAGAACTTCTTCTTCTTCCTAGAGCCTCTCTCTCCTCTTCAAAAGCAAGGGTATAACAAATAATAGGTTTCTCTCTCTGCCGGCTGATTTAACACTCAGCTCGGACACGTGGCAACGACTGGTTGGTTCTCCTCAAAAAGGTGATAGATTGACAAGACATGTGTAAGACAAAGCATATCTAACAAGCTACCCGGCAAGGCACTCCGGCAAGTGATGACATCGGCTAAGGACATAGCTTCGGCAACTAAGGTGGCAATGACCTCGGCTAGGAAGGACAACACTTGACTAAGCTGTGCCACACCTTGGCCTAGATGTGCCACATCTCAGTCTAGGTCATACCACTCCAGGACAAGATCACTTAGGTGCAAAGGTAACATCTCGGCCTAGATAATACACATCTCGGCCTTGGTGATGAACACCTTGGCCTAGATAATGACATCTCGGCCAATATGTCAGGGCGAAGGTGGAGGTCAAACAAAGTGGTTCCAAGATAATTCTAGACTGAAGATGACCTCGGCTAAACTCACACCAAGCAAGGTACAAAACATGCAAGAAACACTTAAGCAAAACAAATCAAGGTTTGCAAAATGCAACATATCAAGACAAGATCATGTAATATATGCAAGCATGACTAGAGTAGAGTGAGGGTTGTTACAATCAAACTCCTCTTTATAAGATTTGATTCCAAAACCTTATATCACAAAAATGTTACACAATTATTAGACTAAATAATCTGGTTATACATTATAAAATCTCCTACACACATAAACTGGGATATTATAGAAATTACCCCTGAACACTTATATGGAGGCAAAACATATAACAAAGACAAAGCAGGTGACTGTAGACGTCCCCGAACGCCCCGGGAGGAACGAGCTCCCGTTCCGTTCATTTTGGGGTCACTACAGCTCAGGACTCTCAAATTGTAGTGAGCCCAAATCCGGCAAAAAGAATAGTCAAGTAGATCTAAACAGTAAAATTTTTTTTACTACAATATTAAAAAAGCTCACTAAAAGGGGCAAACAAAAATACAGACTAAAAATTCAAAAATTCTTTTTGAAAACTCAAAACCAAACAGAGTTTAATTTCCAGAAGCTAAAAGACCTGCTTAAACCATGCAGTGTATAGTATTCTTACACGATTAGCCAGAGAAATAGTGTAATGCCAAGCAACAAAGAAGGTTGGGATCCACTTCTATGCTTTCAGCTTGCCACTCACCCCACGCTTGTTGTGCCACACACCATTCCTATCACCATTCATGGGATTCTTCTTAGCTGCAACCGAACATTGATCAGCATGGCCACTCTTACTGTTCACCTCTATTTGGAGCTTACGCCTCCTCATCCTTTTCTCTAATCGCATGCCTCTTAAAGCACGAACCCTCTTCTCAACCTCCACAGCTTGTGAAAAGTTCCAGATCCGGATAACGCCTTCTTCGCCTGCACACACGATACGATCAGAACCAATGTCAACTGAGAATAAATTGCTGCCAAACCCATGTAGCATTCTCTGAGGGGGCTCCTCGTTTGTCTGGTCCGCACGCTTAACCCTTTTAAGGTTTCCCTTTGAAGAACGCCTGCTTGGTTTTAATAGCTTTTGTACATCAATAAGTGAAAGCTTCCCATCACTAGAAGCTGAAACAAGCCATGGGAACTCAAATGCAAGAGAATTTACAGGACTCGAGTGAGGAATCCATGTTGCAACCTGCTGCAAATTATTCTCAACACAATGATTACTGATCTCAAACATATGAATGGCACCATCTTCTCCCCCAGTGAAAATGAGTTTCCCGGTGTGGCTTCGAGCCAAAGAGTAAGTGTTCCCAACATGGGCATTACTAACAATGGCAATTTGACTCCCAGTAGTACTGTCCCAAACATACACATCAGAGCCTGACGTGCTGGCCACTGTAGTATCATGAGGGACGAGGCTCCAAACCCAGTCACTGTGCCTCAACACCTTCAGGCACTTCAAAAGGGAACGGTCCCAAACACGTACAGTCATATCCCAAGAACCACTATAGATTCTAGTCATATCCAAAGCAAGACAAGTTATGGGCCCTTCATAGGAGAGGGGCATAGCAGCAAATTTTCACAAATATATGCATGCCTCGATCCTCGTGCCACCAATCACGCATACTGAGGCATGATGGCCGAGGAGTCGAATTGCACAACTCAATATAGAATGAATGCACATGAAAACACAACAAGACCTAACTCCATCATGGATGATCCGGAGTGTCGGTGACTGGGGAATTGAGACACGCTCCGTCACTCGGAGTACGAAACGTACCTCGTTTCCCGTGCCCGGGCTAACTCCTATCCCGAACACGATGCAATATGCATGATATGCATGAATGCAACTAAGATACAGCCTAGCATGCACAATGCTATGAAAATGAGATGTCTCGAAATGCGTGCACACGAGCACGCAAACCGAGGAAATGCATGAATGCGATCTAAGATACAACCTAGTATGCACAATGCTATGAAAATGAGATGCCTCGAAATGCGTACGCACGGGCACGCAGACCGAGGCAAAGGCATACGCAATGCAAATGACATGGAAATGACATATAGAATGCAACATGGACTTATACTAATATGAGAGAGCCTCAGCCACACTCATATAAGAGGCCGATGGATGAAAATGAAGTGCCTCGAAATGCGTGCACACGGGCACGCAAACCGAGGCAATGGCATACGCAATGCAATGGCATGAAAATATGATATGGGCTTATACCAACATGAGAGAGCCTCAGCCACACTCACATAGGATGCCGATGGATGAAAGTGAAGTGCCTTGAAATGCGTGCACACGGGCACGCAAACCGAGGCAATGGCATACGCAATGCAATGGCATGGAAATGGCATGCAAACATGCTAATGGAATTTCAGCACTGAAATGTGGGGTAAAACAGCCCCAAAATGAGGCGAAAACACACCCGATGCATGGAATCTCTCCCGAAATGCAAATTAGGCGTATAGAATGAACTACAGCTATACAAAGCATGCATAATTGGTACATGGAATGAAAATACGGAAGCAAGGCAGCCCCAAAATTAGCATTTTTACAGTACAAATCATGGCCAATCAGCAAGCAAAGATAGGGCAACAATGGCATGCGAAAATGGCCCTAAACATGAGATTATGAAGCATCTCACAGCTGCTAACTCCAAATAGGTTAGGGCCCTTCAACAACATTGAAGAGGGGCCAAAAAAATGCACAATTACAGAACTGTAAAAACCCTAAAAACAAACATAGATATGGCTAAGCTCTTATGCAAGAAAATGGGCCAAAAGGTGGCCAAAGAGGCAAGTGGTATATACAAAGCCCAAAATGAAAAATTCCCTTCTAAAACATTGAAGAGAGACCAAAAATATGCATATTTACAGAACTGTAAAATGACCAAAACAGTATACAAACATGCTAGAACTGCAATGCAAAATGAGGCTCAAAAGTGGCTATAACATGAAGTATACAAAATATTCCACAAACGGCCAAAGACCCTTAATGAAACATGTTAAGAAGGTCAAAATAAGACTTTTTCTAGCTCTGTAAAATGGCCAAAAACAGAAGCACAATGGGCTACCAAAACATGCAAGAAATGGGGACCAAAGGGAGATATAAAGGCAAGTATAGTATGGAGGTCCCAAACAGTGTTGAGCCCTTCTTCAATGTTGAAGAGGGGCTCAAAATAAGCCTATTTTTAGTTCTGTAAAACGCCCAAAAATGAAAGCATAATGGGCTTCCAAAGCATGCAAGAAAATGGCATTCAAGGAAGATATTGAAGCAAGTGCAATATGGAGGGCTCAAACAGGGTTGAGCCCTTAAGAAAAAGTGAAAAAGAGTTCAAAATAAGGCCACTTTCAGTTAGGGCCGGAGCTCAAAACAATAAGCATATATGGCTAAGAAAAGATACCAAAATAAGCTCAAAAGAGGGGAAATAGGACTTACATTTGAAGACAAGTCTTGGATGCTTCTTGGCTTGAGTTTGTAGCACCCTTAGGCTTTGGAGAACACCTTCAAGCTTCTGGAATGGAGGATGGAAGGGTGGGGGTTGGTGGTGTAGAAGAAATGGTGGTGTTGGACTTGGAGGTTTTCAAGGAAATGGGAGAGATGGAGGAAGATTTTTGCATGCAAGCTTGAAGATGATTTTTTCTAAACTCCAAGAACAATGTTTGCAGCTGGTTATAAGGACCAAAAGGAGGGGGAGCATGGAAGGAAAGGGTGGGGGAAAAGGACCAAGGCTTTCCCCCACAAAATATCCCCCAGCTACAGATCAACAGAGAGCAGGAAAGGGGCATAATAATGTATTTTCACAAATGCATGCATGCCTCGATCCTCGTGCCACCAATCCCGCATACCGAGGCATGAT